ATATATATATATATATATATATATATATATATACCTTAAAACTATAAAAAATTATAACTGTACTGAAAATTTTGTAAAGTCAAATGCAGAATTAAAACATTTGTAAAGTAAAACAGGTTTATTCTGGTTTGTCAACTTAATGAATATTTCTCACACAATGTGTGGAATTGACCATTCATTTGTGAAAGCCAAAAGGTTTCTAAATTCCAGCACTTCTTCGAGTTTTTTTTTTACTGGTTTTTTTATTAGTATACAAAACTGATCGATTTGAAATTACTTCATGATGAAAATATACTTAAGATACGAAACGAAACATATGGGTTTGATGATGACACATCAATATTTATTTAAAAGTGAGGTTTTTTTACTTCAGAATGATACAAAATCTATAGTTAATAAGTTCAATATTTCTGGCATACCAAATTTTTTGTTTACTTTTCGGAACATTTATTTATTTTACTCTTTAAAGGAGGATATATAGCTGCACTTTAAAAGTAAACCGTATACGAGGTTTTGTTTCGCTTTAATATTATGTAAATAAAAGCTGATCGACAGACCAACACTAAAACTTCACTCACATGTATCTTAAACATTTAAAACGTGTATCTGCTAACTAGATCACCCTTCAGACGTTTTTAAACCATTTCAATAAGTCGTTTGAAATTTTCAGCAAAACTAAAGAGTGGTTATGAAACCACTAAGCATTAGCTCTACTGACATGTAATTTCTTACGTTGTCATTCTTCTAACCTCGATTGGACTAGGCTTAAACTTTAGGATTTACGACTTAATATATGATAACCTTATTGTTATTCTATTCTGGTCCCTTCTCATAGCCACATTTCAGGAGATAAGGAATAACTTTAAGGATTGAATTTTTTGGTTCGAATACTGAATTTGGATCATTTCCACAGTTTTTGCATGAACTGGGGTACTATTTTTATTAACTTCCTCTTTAAACCAGTTTAAAGAAATTAAAACGATAAGATCGATTGCTATGGTGTGAACGCCTTTTCTAAGATGGCGAAACATGGTTATAATTCGTTATACTTTTCATACGACATTATTATTAGGCCTGTTATATTTTTAACACTACATTTACCAGCTTGGAAAAGGCGTTCACAGCATCAGGACTAAATAAGCTTGTATATAAAAGTGTTCTCATGACGAATGGGGGAGGGAATGTAGTGTTCGGAACACTTTTATATAAGCCTGTTTGTTACAACAACATATCATGATTAAAATACTATTATACAACCTTCTTCTTGAAAACCCAAATTACTGAACCAATAATGCAGTGTTTGAAATGTAATAGGCGTAACAGTAATGTCTTACGAGAATTATTATTAGATAACATTTATTTCCGTTTAACTGTCACACAATACTTAAATACATACAAGGCCTCTAAAACCTTCTTGAATGAGGGTATTACCTCACTTAATTAAAATATATATCATAAGAAATTTTAAAGCATTTTTGAAAATATACCCCTTCAATAAAATAGTTTTACCGCGTACATTCTCATAAGAATTAAGAACAAAGATACTTTGAAGCTTTACAATGAAACATTTAGCTAACGTAAAATTTATTTGTTTGTAAT